GTCACCAGGACTATATTCTTGCAAGTTTCACTGCAGTTCACAAAAGATTTGTGACACAGGATAATGGTGTTGCTGGTGGGACCAAGACGTGCTGCTAGGGCCATCTGGGATGACCAGGGCTGGATACCAAATTCTTGTATGGGGGAAATGCTGATGGAGGTGGCTGGCAGAAGCCCATGGCAGAGGACAGTGCTCTAAAACCTCATCACCCTTAAGACTGCTGATTTATTGTAATGGAAGTATGATCATGAAGGAAGTTTTTGAAGGCATAATCCATATTGTTTCTTCTTAAGTGCACTGAGTGTGTTTGTAAGTTGATGACTTGCCAGTGATATTACCACAACTACTAGACATGGAGTGTTTTGCCTGTGTTTGTCTGTGTCTGAATGTATGTCTTCTGCTGGGTTGTTCTAGTTGCAAAGTGACAGAGCAAGGGTGTGTGAGCAACTAGGTTGTGCTGATAAAGCATTCAGTAGGTGATCAGAAGGTTACAGCTTTATAGTGGTTGAAGGAAAATGGGATTGTAGCAGGGTGAGAGTAGAAGCCTTCAGGGTGTAAGTGCAGACTGATATTAAAGGTGCCAGGACTGTAAGTACAACTCACACATGGTCAGTTATCAGTCACTAGAGGAGAACAACCCTGTGGATTGGATTAAACCTGTTTTAGGGATAATAAAAGAGAACAATGAGCCTCTCAAATAAGTAAAATATGCTATATATAGCAAATTCAGACAAATCATGAAATTGCAAACCAAGGAGGAAGGAGCAAGTTAGCAGATGTGTTGGAGAACATAAAAATTACTCCAGACAGACACACAGTGAGGAGGAAGAATCCCTCCAGCATCAGTCATAATCCTCATGGAGAAAACAATGAATGTTAATATTGTGGTCCTCACAGGCTCTCCTGTTCCTCCTTGGGGAAGACCAATGGCATTGACCCAAGTGCACAGAGAAGCCAAGTGGGATGAGGACAGCCCCAGATAGTGGGATGGGTGCTGAGCAGTGGGTCTCCTTCCTGGGAATGGGCTGTAAACACTGGACATATTAGACATAATAACTGGATAGACATAATAACTATCTGTATTAATAAATTGCTGTACAACCAGACTGATAGTAATGACTTCATTGCACTGTTAGCATTTTTATTAGACTAATAATAAATTCTTGGCTGTGTGTATAATAATGTGTTTCTTTAGCCCCTGTAAATTGTACTGACTGTCCTGGAGGTCTGGCAGCTACACTTCAGTACAGCCACCGATGCAGACAGCCCTGCTCAGCCCTGTGGCATTTTTGTGAGCAGCCCAAACCTGCAGTAAAGACACAAGGTAACAACTACATTTACCCTGATGGTAACTTCTGATGCAGTGGGGTGGTATTTGTAACGTGAGCACAGTGCCCGGTGTAACTCAGGGGACAGTAGCCTGGCATGTAGATGGCCAGAAATGTGGAGAGTGGTGCATTGCAGTGAAAGGGGTAAACGTGGTAGGTCTTAGGAGGGCTGAGCCAGGGGAGAAAGGAGGAATGTGTGCAGGATCATTCTGCCTGGAGAAGGAGGAGGATGGAGACATAAAAGCTGGGCTGTTAGGCTGCCTAGGTGGTGTTCCCCAGGAAGCTGGAAAGGAGGGGCTGATAGGAAATGGCTTTCACGATGTGTGAAAACACCTTCCCCAGAGTATGAAAGGATTGCTCTGCAGCTCCCAGAAGCTGTTTGTAACACACTGCTGCTCTGTGAGACGTAAAAAATATAATGGCCAGTCTTCGCTGTCACCGCTGAGGCCCGGGTCTGTGAGACGTACCCTGGGCCATAATGCAAAGGCATCCATGTGCGTGGTGTGCTGGGGTGCCAGTGGGGTGGTACCAGTCTCTGTAGGGCAGAGGGACAGAGACAGGATGTAAATGGTGCTGTCTGCAAAGAGCAGCTCCTGGGCCAGCCTGGTTTCATCGTAGAGGAAACTGGTTGTTTTGACCCTGTGTTCACGAGGAGTGAACACACACACGTGCCACGTGTGCAGCACAGATGGTGTGGGACTAGGTTCCAGGAGCAAGTACTGGAGCTAAGAAATTTGGCAGCGTAGATTCATGATAAAAATACATTTGTAATATGAAATATCAGTGAGAGCTTATTAGACAGAACTGAAAAATATCTGTATAATGCAGGTGTAAGAAGCTACTTTCTTACCATTGATGCAAGTAATTAATATGTTGTAAGAAAAGACAGCATGCAGACAGATAAACAGCAATGATGGCAGCAGTTTCCTGGTGGAAAATGTGCACAGTATATACTCTGGAAGTTATTCTATTGTATTTGTTAATTAATCTTCTAAATTGCCAAAAGATTGCCACAATATCAGGCACAACCAAGGGACAGAAAATCCTTATTAGGTATGAAATCCCAGCTAGAGTAGTAAACTACTGCATTCCAGGAGTAGGTGTAAAATGGTTACCTCCACAATGATTTTAAACATGTTACTTCATCTGAAAGATGCTTTTGAATTGAAAGCATGAATAATGAATATCGTTTGCATAGAACACTATGTGTGTCCATTAATACTGAGCTCCCTGCATCCCAGCTGTTCCCAGAGGTGATGATACTACTTGGGTGGAGCTGTGGCTGCTCAGTGAATTAATGAGAACTAACTTTGCTGCTGAGCTTGGCAGCTGTGATCATGAACTTTAGCTTCACCTGGTCCAGTCTGAATTGGTAACATTATGCTCTCAATAATATAATAATGTGCCTAGTATTGTGCTGGGGGAGAATAATTTGAGGACAGAGGAGATGCCACTGCACTGCAGAAGATCTATTTTAGAGACATGGACAAGCCACAGCACCCAACATTTTAGGTTCAAATCACCCTTCAGCCCTTTAGTCAGGCAAACTGAACATTAAGCCACTTACTAAGCGTGACCTGGAAAGTTCTATCTGCCTAGCATGAACAAGCCCAGTGGTTTAATTTCCTGGTAAAGCCAGATAGAGGTGACTATAAATATTTTCATGCCTTTTGTGTTTGACAGCTCCTCATAGCTTATACATAATAGGCTGCTACTTAGCTATGATGCCTTTTTTGCTGTGAGCAAACTGTTCTTTCTGTCCATGCAGTAATACCCAAGACATATTTCCCTACATCCAAACCTGTGGGTGTTTTGCAAAGGTTAATGGAAATTAAATTAAAGCTGAGTAATACTGATTATAATGCAAGAGTGCGCAGGAAAGTCTAATTAATACAACTGGCAGCATGGCTTGGTCCTGGCCTGTGACACCACTCTTTCTTTCTCCCTCAATCCTAATTTTTCCCCAAGCAGGCACCCACAGTAACCTCAAACTACTTGTTTTCAACAGTTTTGAAAGGACAGATTTATAGCAGCATCCCAGTTTTTTGCACTCAGGACTTAAATGATATTCAGTCCTCTAGAAAGCAAACAAAACCTGTTGTATTCTGCCTTCTTCCTTCTTGCTTATAAACATCCTTCTATCAGTAAGATTACAGTAGTTTCTAGATTTTAGTATTTACAGAGCTTTTCCGTGCAAGGAGCTGTTGCAAATAACCTTGAATTTTATTTTAAGTGGCATAACTCAACAAATGTCTTTTCTAGTGAACCAGCTGAGTTTTTATCTTATATTAATGATCCGACTTTGCCATTAGTTTACTGATGGGCAGGAGAACAGCCTTTAACTCTCAATATTATGCATAGGCTACCTGAAAAAAAATCTGAAAATCAGACTGGAGGACATGAAAACGTGAGGGTGATAACAGGACAGAATGAGATCTTGCATCCCTGCTTGTGAGACCACCACATCTTATTTGTTGCTGGTACCTTTTTCACATGCTTCACTGAGACAATCTGGAAAGGAGGCACCTTGGAAGGCACCAGTGCAACAGGGGATGCTTGGCCTGAGGACACTGAAGGTTTAGTTTTGAAACATTGAAGTGTATCAAGTTCTTCAAAATATTTGCCTCACTGTGAAATGAAAACTTACTGTGGAATCACTGTGTACATATTGTTGTAGCTCGTGTAGCACCTCCCAAGCACTAATTTTAGAAATGCCACCTCAGCACATATTCCCCAGAGGCAGAGAGAAACAGAACCCATTAAACCTAAGCTTTGGGAGCCTCACTTGCAGCAAGTCCCTCCCCCCATCCTGCCAGTCACTTCTTGCACCAACAAAGGCTCTGCATCTAAGGAACAGTCTGACCCTGGAATTCTGCCATTTGCAGGGTTCCCATGGGCTCTTACATGCCTGACTGAGGGACTATGGCTTGCTCATGTCCTCAGATCCTTTTTCTTTTGGCACATCTGAAAGCCATTCCTTTGATAGTATTCTTCCTTTTTCACAGGAAACAAACCAGTTCCTGTGTCAGCATCCTGGCCAGGAATCAAAGAAACAAGCTACTTGTCAGGCAACACCCGGGGCTTAGGCAATTAGGAAGGGGATGGTATTTCAGCAAGAGCCTTTCTGTCACTAACGAAAAATATCATGCAAATTTACTGCAACTTTGGAAAAAAAAAAAGTGCTGTGTGTAAAAGTTATGAGATTATTTTTATGGCACAGGTCAAACAACAGTGTGGCTGCTTTTCTACTCTGTGCTTTCCAGTTCAGGCAGGAGTAAAGAACATTTTTTTAGTTATGTCTTCTGTTTGCCTCATAGTTGCCTTATGATATCTTACTAGAGAAAATGTCTCAGATTCCAAGTGTCTTCCACTTTAGCTATGACAGCAACCACAAACTCTCAATCTGTAATTGCAAGGTAGAACTGCATTTTGACCTTACAAGCCCTCCTTGGCAAATACACTGGTTTCTTATGGGGAATACATGTATTTTAGCTTCTTTGGTATGACCACACAGTCCATGAGCCACAACATGAGGACATCAGATACAGAAATATTCTGATTACCTGAAGAAGTGAGAACCATTCATTATACCTTTACAGTCTTTGATCTCAGCTCTTGATAAATTAATCACAAACACAGGAATGTGAAATGTGTGAAGTAATAAACAGACACTTTAAAAATTTTCTTTATTTTCATTTCCAAGTTCAAGGTCAATCTTCAATAATTTGCAGCTAAATGAGAGTATAAAAATGTTCCCATTAGTCTAGTTTGAATTTAGACATATTATTCATTATTTGCAAAAAAACCTAAGCCTGCTTTTTTCAAATACCATTTCTGTGCACAAATTATATAACTCACTCTTTTCATAAGGCATGTAAAACAGATTTCCGTTCAAACATTAAAATATTTCACACTTGAGCATCAGAATTTAAAACAAAAATTAAAAGTTCTCAAAAAAAAAGTGCCTGAACTGCAGAAGTACACACTGCAGACATTACAATGTACACATGCAGAGACATGCACATATGAATATCTATGTATATGAACATACTAGGAAGGTCAAAAATACCTGTTTTCTTTTTTTTATGCAATCTCAGTCATTTAACTAACAAGAATGGATGTTTAACCCAGTACTCACATATTGCTTGCACAATAGTTATAGTTTTCTACCTTTTCAGTACAAAATCATTTCAGTCACACAGTAAAATTGTGTGTCTTCCAGTCAATGTCCTGAAGTAATGATGAAATTCTGAAACACATTGAGGAAGCATAAGGGAGAAGATGAAGGAATAATGCAAGATGAAATTGCAATGAGTCTTTGAGAAGATTAATTTGCCTAATGATGAATTGGTAACAGTAAATCCTTTCTCTTCATTAGCCAATGGAAACATTCACTTTCTTTTGAGTGATTCCATTTCTCACATAGGGGAAGAAGATGTATTTCACAGGTATACAAACATCAAAGGAAAATCCTGTATATACATTGTGTAGGAATTATGGAAACATTGCAAAGTTCCTTTCTGTTTGAAAACTGAACTCAGGTAACTCATAAAAACTTACCAGCTTTTGGTAAATTATTTCAGCAGAAAGTGTGTTGTTTCAGTGTACCTGTAGAAATCCACATGGGCAGCCAAGGGACTTCAAACAAATTATGTGGCATAATGTCTTTTGGGAGAAAATTACATTTCAAAAATCCTGTCGCATAAGAAGACAGAAATTCCCACAGGTCCTTCATCTAAAAGTCTTTAAACGTGGTTACTTTATTTTATGTATTTGAGCCTTTTATAGTTGGAAGATAATTGATTTACTACTCAAAGAACAGACCCTGTAAATAAGACTCTTCACTCCCAAGAAGGGCACCGAGAGTGAAAATGTCCAGATGATTCTTTGAGCTTGCTTCTTCCACTAAAACCAGCACAGGAATCTATTTTTAGGACTTTAAATTGTCTTAGGCAGTATAGATTAGATCCTGTCACCCCAGCTACACAGATTGGAGTTTTTTATTATTTTACAAACAAATTGCTTGTTTCTACTGGTGGTTATCTCTGGTAGAAGGACAGTAAATATAAATACACATTTCTAGAACCTACTCTTAGTTTTATTAAGGTCATTGGAAGCTTGCAAATTAAGAACTAAAAAGCCACCTGGGAAATAATGCAATTTCTTTTCAGTTACAGCCTAATGAATAAGAACAGTAATGTATTACATGAGGAGAGTGTATAAAATTACTTGTAATTTATACTTGTAACTAAACGTGGCTTGCACTACAGAAGTCAGATGTAGTCTTGGAATGTCCTAAATTTAAGTTTCAGGATATAAACAGGTTTATGGGATCTTGGAGTAGCTCAGGAAAGTTATCATGAGCAGTCTAGGGCAGCCAGCCTTCACCACTCCACAGCTGATGGAGGATGTGGTCAGCATAAGCAAGGTCTGCAGTATTGCCCAGATAACCATGTACCAAGGCCATCTCCTGCTAACCATCCTGTCACATCTCATGCTCTAAATGCAAGACCCAAAAACTGCCTCCCTGATGGCTGGCATGACCTAGGTTTGTTTCATACCAATATGCTGTGCAGCATCACATGCTTGCCTTTGTTGTGTGACCCAAGCCATCTGACACATCTGGTCAGCCCCTCATCACAAAATCATTTCTTAGCTAGTAAATAATCTCCCTGCCAGGACTCCTTTGTTCTTGCATCTACTCACTCTAATGTGGTATCCACCCAAGGCAACAGTCTCTGGAAGAGCTTCTTACACAGTGAACCTTCCCTCTTGTCTTCCTTCAAAACCCCTTTTACCCTTTAACGCATCAGCATCATTATTCACTTTCTGTAGTTTTCCTGTATCTTGCAGGTTTATACTGCACTATCTCTGCCTTCTACCTAATCCTTTAAAAATATGCTATGGTCTCCAAAAGACTTGCACTTACTCTGGATTTCAGTTTGCCTTTTTGTTGGCATAATTAATAAGCAATTCCAGTTGCATAGACTTGTACTACACGGAAAGTAATAAGTACACACCAAGCAGCAAGCCATTAAAATGATCCTAATATGCAGTAAATTGGGGCTCAGTCCCAGAATTCTGTTTATACCTGTTTGCTCATGAAAAGGACTTTTTACCATTCATACATGGATTTTCTTCCCCATGTCATGTGTTTGTCATGAACAACTTTTAAATAGTTCTTATAAATGACCCTCTAAGGTTACTCATATATATATATATGTCTGTGGGAGAGGCAAATAAATTTACCTCTTTTGTCTTGTGAACATGTTAAACTAATTGAGAATATATGTTATTACTTCTATACTGAGAAGTAATATGTTGAATTAATTCCTGGACAGAATGTTCATATTCCTTTTAGATGCATATTTATGATAATCACGGAGCACTGTGATACAGGATGCTTACAATGTAATTAAATAACTTCTGAAAGGCAAATTAATTATATCTTATAAAATAAAGTTAATGTTTTGAGCTGACATTACAATATGGCTTTAAGAATTATGGTTATGTTCATGTAATGTTAATGACAACTTTTTTCTAAGTCCATCTGGGCCTCAACATAATTCAAGGGCCATATATAAAAACTAAGTAGCCATAGCTCTACTTGCCAGCTAAGACTAAGAACTTCAAGTAAGGCTGGTCAACACAAAAGTTACTGGTTTTAAGACCAATATTATGTCAATACAGAAAATAAATTAAAACTAGGTAATTGAAACTTTACTATATAAAAAGGTTACTGTATGACTTAACTATATATAACCAGTATATATAGTTGAAAAGAGATTTAGTGGAAGTCACCTCTGTGTCACTTTCTGAGAAGTCTGGATTTGAGCTTTTTGAAAGTGAGTGCTTTAAAAGAACTCCGTGGGTTTGAATGTGCACACTCAAAAATCTCTATGACTAAAAATGCAGATTCATTTGTTCATATCCTGGTTTTAATTGTGATGAGTTGTACCTCTTATTATCCAGCCTGATCATAATAGCAATGCAGAACAGGATGTACCCAAGGGATAACATAGAAGTTAGTGAAAAACAAATGGCACGAATTCTGGTGTATGTCTGTGTAGTGCCACTGCTTTAGACAAACACATTCTGAAGATCCTACAGTGTCCGCAGCTGGTTTCCACAAGACCTGCTTCTGAGGGCACTCAGCAGCAGCTGCCTGCTGTATTCAACCTGGAACATCTGGAGATCTTCATGTCTTCAGAGATTGATGACATTTAAAGTGCGGCAAAGCATTGTGAAGTCCATCCTTACCTGCAATTTTCTCTGTTAATTGGCACAATTCTTTGTTTTCCTTCTGTCACTTTGTCTGATGCTTTTTGTAACATTAATGGTGACTTCTTTTGTGGACATTTTCTGTGTGTCCCGTTTACTCTGTGAGAGATTTAAACAGTACAGTGAATTCCACGCTGACAGCAGAGTCACTGACAATTACCTCCTACATGAAAACAGTTCTACGTCATAAACAGAATGCCTCCAGCATCCTTCTCATGGAACTGTGACACAGAGCAACTTTCTCATCCAGCATGGACACAAATTTTATAACTGCTGTACAGGCTGTGGACATCAGTAGACTTTGGATCAAGCCTCTTGACTATAATTATGACCCCTGCATGTGTGTACTCTAAAGAAAAGCAAATAAATCCAATTTCAGTCCAGAAGTGAAAATTAGAGGTTCCTTTTTATGTCACTGGAGCTGTGCATCACTAGCCTGAGATAGAATTTTCTATAACTGATTTTATGTTTCTTGTGTGAAAATACAGTTTTAAAGTAACATTTACTTCTGCCGGCATATAAGACCCAAGCACAATATATATACCTTTCAGAGCTTCATCAGATAATTTCTAATATTCAAAAAGTCAGTCTGTTAGAGGCATGCAAGTGCATCCCTAATTTAGATTTATTCTTCTCCATCTCCTGGTCTATCTGCTTGTTGCCATGAGCAACACATTATATGCACAGTAAACTGGATAGGTCTAGAAAATTGCACTCACAAATGGGCTGACAGAGACACAGGGGCGAGTTAGGTGGAATTGACTGATTATTGCACTTCCAGTAGTCCATGAAACTATTTGTCAGTGTAAGGAATGCCAGAGAAATTGGGCATTATTTACATGGCAAGAACGACAGGTAGAATAACGTCTGATAAACTTTCACTGACATGAGTTGAAGGTACACATATATTTGCAGAGCAACACTTGGAGCTTATTTGCTGTTGTGTATTACTTCACATTTCTGCAGCCTGAATGCACCTGCTCTTTTGGTGTCTGCTGCCCCAGTGCTACTCTTCATGCAAGGACTCTCCAAAGACTACACATATAACGAAAATCAAAGCAGGCGATTGTCAGTCAGGGACATGATCTGGATAAACCCCTTGCTTTTGGTGTGCCTGACCATTATATTACCTTCAGTGGTATAAGGACTCCTCTCATCATTGTCATCATCATCTTTTACTTTCAAGTTGTTCTGACATTACTGTCATGAGAGGATCCAAAGTTTACCAGATGCAGCCTGTGTCAAACTCCTTCCCTTTCGACACACAAATTGTGACACAAATTGTCACATAACAGGAGGCTGCTTTAGAGCTTGATGCAGGAGAAAGTGAGAAACAGAGGTTCTTTTTTATCCCCTACTTGCCCACAGACCAATGGCAGAACCCAAGTCTCTGAGAGCACCGTGTGCTGCATTGCACTGTATTGTAGAGCATGTAGAGATAAAAGAAGAACTGTAGTAATGTGAATATTCAGTTAAATAAAATGGGCACATTTTGAATTGGGGGAGATAGTCACATTCTCATCTCTAGGCATCTAAACTTCAGGTGTTCCAATTGGAAACTTGCTCATCTTAGGCTTCCTTCAGTGGAGAAACAGAGATTCATGGAGGCAAACCAGAGCTGGAGCCTAAATCAGATACTACACTTTTTCTGAAGGAATATATACTTCTATCTTGAGTACACGAAGTTTAGACAACTTAGCTTCCTTTCTTATGCACCTGCATTAGATGTGTAGAATAATGTAAATGCCTTACTTATCATCACGAATTTTCTTTGCACTGAGCTGCAACAGTGCAGGTGTATGTTACTGAATGTACCTCAGCTAAAAAATGTGGGAGGGAATCTTCAAAGTCATAGGGCCTCAGGGCAGGAACCCACACTTCACTGAGTAGTCCCACAGTCAACACTCTCATTGTTAATATGTTGTGGGAATTTGCCCATACTTCCTACTAAGTCCAATGCAGAAGTTGTTTTCCAGTCACTTATAAAACTAGGCAAGCCATTTTCTCCAGCAGTATGCAGGGTACATACTGTAATTCTCAACTGTAGCCAAGCCTTTTTCAAATTGAATTAATAATTATGTAGTTCTGTTCAACCATATGCAACCTCACCAATTAACAGTACTGATATGCTGTGTGTTGGCAAATGCAAGGTGAAGTTCAGTCTAAATTCCCTTTTTCATTTGCTCAGACCCTTTGGGTTTAAATTTGCCTCTCTCAGTGATGTGACTCCTGACGTGGGACCACCTCATATGGGGAGGTTCCAGTGGTTCCAGCACAGGCTGTGCTGAAGCACTTTCTGTGGAAAAACGTCAAGAGACAAAGCTCAGTGAGGAGGAGTGCCCATACTGGCAGTAATTCACCAGAAACAAACTGCGTGCACGCCTGAGGAGAAGGGGCACAGGGGAGGTTGTTTCGCGCCTGAGAGAGGCATGAAACAAAGGATGGTGTAGAGGTGTTGGAGTCACACTCAGTTTAAAACAATGCAGCTAATGAGAACTAAACCAAAGGAATGACCCAAATGGTGACCAAAAGCTGAATTATGCATCATGAACTTCAAAATGCATATTACTCTTAATTCCCTGCATATGGTAATGATGTACATGCTTTACATGTATGATTAAAGTCGCTCAAGCTCCATCTAATCATGAGATTACATCAACTGAAACTCTGGTTTTTTTCACCATCCTCTAAGAAAGAAATACAAGTATGAGTTAAGAGGGAAGGGAGGTCAGAAGAGACTCTACCTTTGTATCCTGGGATAGTCAACAGGCTATAACCCTCTAGCCCCCCTCAGGGACACCTGTCAGGTAAGCTTTATTCCATGGTAATACTATTGCAGGTACTTTCTGGTATCAGTGCATTTAGCAACCGCAATTTGTGGACCTTATTCTGTCACAACCAAATCAATAAATTGCACAGTTTGTGAATCTGGAGTCTTATTGAATTCACCCAGACTTACTGTGGAACTTATGCCATTTGTGCGTCTGGGATTGCAGTTGTGACCACATTGTGCCTCTGGCACCTTACCAGTGCCAAAATGGTTACTCTGAAAAATTATTTGTGAGGGTCTCATGGGGGCTTGGACAGACAGATAATACTGACTAACAAAAGGAAGGCCTGACTGCCCCCAGGCCCACTACACCTGCAGACAGTGCAGAAAGCAAGGGGCTCTCCCTTTCCTAAATTTTTATGTGACAGAAAAATTGGTGTAGTCAGCAGGATTGCCAAGGATTAACAGTTACAAAAGTATAAATGTGCTCCTTCCCAGGCAGACAAGAAATGGGCCCAAAAATTCTAGAAAGACAAAGCAATTATTTGTGCCAGTATTGGGGACTCACTTATCACACAAAAGGAAATCAAAGAGTCCCTTCTTTCCCAAAAATTTCCTATACAGAATATGCTGCTTCAGAATCAGAAAATGAAGTATTAAAGTCATCACTGGCCTTTGAGAGGGAAATAAAAGAAAGACTGGGAACCCAAAGAAACAAGCTTACAAATGAGAATGATCATCTTAGGATTCTACTTGCTTCAGCAGAGCACAGGGAAAGACAATTATTGGAGAAATTAGGTAGGAAGAGTCTTAATAGAGAGAAACAAGGTCTGAGAGAGGAAATAGGAGGCGGGAAAGCAACTGAATTGTTACTATCTTTGGAAATTGAGCAGCTGCAGAAACGGTTACAGGAAGAAAAGGAGATAAAGCAAAAATTGGAAGAAAAGGTAGAAATGGTGCTTATGTGGCTGCCAATCCAGCCAGCACTGTACAGATAATGAAAGCATTTGTATCCCCTGGAGAACAGTGAAAAAGACAAAGGGTCAGTGGCTGCTCACTCTTGTCTGCAGGAGATGGAAAGCCAATATCACACCTTTAACTACTGCTGTGCCAGATTTAGCAGAACTGGTAACTCAAATGCAGGGAGCTCCCTATGCATGGATGGCAACCCTACATGTAAAAGACAAGTTATTTATGATTCCTCTCTGGGAATGCATTGTACCTTTAACAGACTCCCACAGGAGTATAAACATTCACCCATGACTGCACATTCTGTGATATCCAAAATTTTACAGTCTTGCTCCCTCCAGATGTGAAATTATGGGATATTCCATTAGGAGAAGACTCCCCTGAAAAAGCAGGGGAAGCAGCAACAGCAGCGCAGCAAGTGCTTCATGAAGTAGAAATTGAGATTCCACCTGAGAAGCGCCAAGGACCACGTAAAGGACTGTATCTGCTACATCTGCAGATGACCCACAAAGCAAGGAGGTCTCCCTTTCCTAAATTTTTACCTAGTACTTTCTCATGTGAGAAACCAAGGAAGCAGCAAACCAAGCAGAGTTTTTGGATTTCTTCAATCTGCAGCAGCTCAGCAGCTGCTACACAAACAGAGCAAGTGGAAACCCCTGAGAGGCAGGCATGTAGGCAGATGCAACAGGAGAAGGTTGGTCTTTGGTAGAGTCCCAAATTCTTGGGTGTTCCTACATTATTGTTACACTGGATGACTCTTCTACAGTGTATATAACATAAAGTGAGGGGGGAGGAGGAGGGAGGATCTGATCCAAAGCCTACTGAGGTTATTGAAAAGACTCTCATTGACTTTTTCAGGCTTCATGTTCAGCTTTGAGGGAACCAGGGTTTATGCAGTTCACACAATTTAAGCAGAACAGTAACTAAGGAAAAACCTGTTCCCTTTCAGATAATTAATCTAAACAGTTTGCACAACACATGCCACAGCTGGACTGAGTTGGAAAGCAATGAGCGTGGGGGCTTTTTTTACTCTAACAATGTGTGTGTAACTCTGATTGATAAAACATCAATCCTGTGGCCGTTCAGGCATTGTCAGAAGTGCTTGGCTCAACCATGCTGTGGCTGTGGTGCAGCCCAGCACCATTTTCTTTTATCTCTTGTACAGTTTCACTGCAGCGAGGAAGATTGCCACAAAAGTGAGTTAGACTTGGTTGAAGCTAGTGCTGAGCATCAGGGGACATGATCATACTCTTACCTCTGTGGTTCTGAAGCCATTCTGCCTCTGTGTCGTGGCCCCCGTGCTGTGGACCATGGGGTTGGCACACTGAGAACCGCAGTTGTTCCTCTTGTCAGTGCTCAGCGTTCCAGCTGGGGCTGCTGCTGTGGTTACACCAGTCTGAGCCAATTTCCCATCCTCTGGAAGACCTAGAAGGGACACGTGAAATTGGGCAAATAATACCACGGAGCAATTTACAACTGACTCTGGCTTTCCCTTTATTTTTCCACATGTTTGTGATACTGTAAGTGATGCCAGGTGTGCTGCAGTACTACAGTGAGAACAGTCCACCTCCTCGTGTCACCCTTATCCTCACATTTGACATTATTTGCCCTTTTCCCTATGGTCCACTGCTCTGTGAAACACTGGCTCAGAAAACATGGAAAAACGATCAATGAGTGCAGCACATCAGTGGATTTTTGTCATCTGTGGATCTCCATTGGCTTCTCTACACACACAGCTCCTTACATGACTGAGATTTTAACTTAGGACCTGGAGAAGCTCCCCTTAAATCTGTTTCAGTTCTGGGAAATGAAGGGGTTAGATGTGAGCATGAAAAATGAGACAAAAATGTGTGGGAAAGTTGCTCTATTCATGGCCTTGAACAGTTTTTTCATCAGAAGCTGAGAAAAGAAATTCAGAAAAATACATTTCTTACTGTTTTGACTACTGGCAATCAAATAAATGACTGATTTGCTTTTTGCTCTAGCTGTGTGGGTATGCATGCATTGTACAACATGGTATTGGACAGCATAAATGAATTTTCCCATCTTATTGCATTAACAAAAATGAGTTGTCATTTATGATGAGTGCAGAGGATTAAACTTCTGGTTGCAACACTGGGTCTAAAATACAAACACAAAGAGCAAGGGGGATGCATGACTGTAGCTCTCAATTTAGTTTTTGTCAAAGCTCATTTACAAAGAGCTTTATGTTAAAAGAAAAAAAATGCAAATTTACTAACTGGCAATGCAGGTATCAAACCTGAAAGAATTAAGGGGTCACAGACACTAAGTGAGAAAAAATTATGTGGAAAAACAATGACAAATCATTGCTATTTGAAGTGATGTTGTGTCATCAAAACCTTTTTCCACAAATCGGGTGGGAATTCAAACACAGTATTAAGGGTATTGAAAGGAAAGCAAAGTCCTGAATTCTTTCTCAGAAATCTGCAAGAAAAGCTGCATTGTCAGTAGATATCAACATCAGTAGCAGCTAGCAAAGGCAATGACTAAAAGCAATAAAGCTTCAACCGAATATTCAAAGCCTTGATACTGAAAATATTTAAAGTTTTGTGAATTAAATCATCTTTAAGATCCCTTCCGATCCAAGACATTCTATGAGCTAAGAAGTCTAATACGAGCTAGTCACTGCATTTCCCTGAGCAGTCAGAAGATGGAGTCAGAGTTTTCCAAAGGTAATTTAACTTGCAGTGGTGGTAACTAATAATGCTAAGTCATCCAGTTTTTGATAGAAAAAAATTTACCTGAAATGTGAAAATACTACATTATAGTTTATTTTTAAAAATACATCAGGCTTTGGAAACTTTTCTGCTAGATATAAAGTCTAACTTCATTCTCCCATCTAAGTTTAGATGCAACTTCCATAAGGCAAGAGTAAACCTCACCTCTCCTGAACCTCCCAAAAGTCAACAAGTACTTGTGTTTTAGGTTTTCTCTCTTCCTATCACTCCACAGTGCCAAATGAAAGGCAAAAACATGACTTGTTGCAGAGCAGTAAGTGACACAGACTGGTATTGTAGACAAAACCAGTTATCAGGGAGGGAGATGGAAAGGCAATTAGCCACGAGTGAGTCAGAGCTCTAAACCAGGAGTCCACTGCTTCCCCTTGCAGAGGAGCTGTGAGAACAAGCCTGAGCACAGCTTCCAACAGCCAAACTGCACTAGGCATTACATACTCATTCCATTAATGGAATATTTGACATTTCAAACATATATGAATTATGAGTTTTTCCTTCTGTGGAGTCATCCTATGAATTTACTTTCCACTGTGTGTCTCTTAGGCCATCTGGCCTCTGACTAAATTGTCTGGTGAAACAGCTGGCAGCTGAAGAGCCATTTTGTTATTAAGCACAATTGTTCATTTATCAGACTGTGTTGCATCTTTTGGTCTCACACAGAACAGTTTTTCTTTCATGAATCCATTCCTGGAGGCTGACAGAAAACCTTAATCCTGAAAACAGTATATCTGGTTCATTTTTTGTCTCTGTTAGTTTGCAGCCTGAGCATCCTTGCTGCATTCTGCATTGCAGAGGTGAGACTTTTTTTGCACTACTTGTCAGAAATAAACCAGATATCAGTATCCGATCCTTCCACTATCACTACTATATTTTTATATGGGTGACCTACTGGTCACCAATACTACACAAAAAGCTTTTTTATTTTATCCTGAAATAGGTTTGCTATTCTGAAGTTAAGAAACTATTTTAATTTTTTTTTTCTCATTGGCAAATGGATGCTTTAGAGAGTGTGCAAGAGTTTAAATATTTCAGTGACTTGCTCTTTATGTATGAGCACTGAGCAGAAATTACAGTGAGAATGCATGAGCAGTGGAGTTAAGAGTACAAGGTTTGTTGGCAATTCATAAAGCAACACCTGTCTTACAGACTAGATACATAACACAAAAGGTTGATTGCAAAACAGAAGATGATGTTAAGAAAGGATTAGGAAAACATGGTTGTCCTTAAAATAACAAACACTTTTGCATTGTTATTTAGCGTTTGCCACAGTACACATAAATGGAAGAGTTAACTCTCTTCTTTTGTACTATCTGGAATTTACAAGCCAGGATGACAATACTAAGGGTCTTGCCTCAGTGTCATCTAAAACAAGCAAACTGTTGAGATATTTATGCCATCCTCTCAGCACGGGTTCAGTGAACTCTTTGGTCTTTCACTGTAGAACTTCAGTTTACATCAGTGTTATTAAATCACTGTAGAGATTTAAATGAACAGGTTCAGTAATGTTCTCATTGTCATCTCCTCTGCCATGACACCCCCCTGCCAAAAGTCTGTGGGCCTCTTGAGACCAGGGAAAACAGCAGATCCCATCTCAGTGCTCTGTCAAATAAAAGTATTTTATTTCCAAATGAACCGGCAAGGCTAGAATATTCTTATGGTTCCATTCCCAAGACCAGGCTTTCTGGGTGATTATTAAATACCCATCAATGTGATGGTGAACTTTCCCTCAGGAATGGTTAGTCAGTGTTTGGGGAACTGTTCCCTCTATGGAGAGGAATGGATGACAAGAGGCAGGTATTTCATTGCATGTAATCAGGTTTACAACAAACGTGCATGAGTTCTCTCTCAGTGGTTGCAGGGAGAATACCCCTGCAGCAGCCTCATTACTTACAAATCCAAGTCTATCTTTCCAGTACAAAATGTGCTTAAAAGAACTTGTCCTCCCATGGCAATGCTCGCTGCCACCTTCCTCCTTGCCGGCTTGTTGGGCTGCACAGGAGCACCAGGTCCTGCCTTTCTTACCAGGCCAATAGAATCCTTTAGGCTGCAGTTTGACAAACTTCTTTTCAGAAGCATGAGGGGAAAAAAGGGTTATTTTAAACTGAAATCAATCCCTAGTTATTCTTCTCCCAATGACGCAAGCAGCCAGACTGGCACAACTCGGGAGGTAGCACAGGAATCGGAACAAGCAGCTGAAAGCAGCTTAGGTTGGTGTGCTCTCCAACAAAACAAAACAAACCAGACCCCCACTCATCCAGCCACACTTGTTCTTCTCACTGAGCTGCCTTGCTGAGCTGTCTAAATCTTCAGAGGTATATTCACGTTGCTTCCAGCTACACCTACGTCAGGGGACAGATATTTGCTTAGTCCATTTAGCCCGGATTCACCAAAGCTTCCCACTGTGTTACAGCAAAAAGTGTCCCAGAGGGACGATCTGGACCAGGATGTGATACAACTGACTGATACAAAGGAGCTTCTTACTAAAATGTCTTTCACTAAAACGTCTGATGATTTACACCAAATGATGGCACTTCAAATAGTCTATTGTTCTGTGTATTTTCACATGCACAATTTGAATAGATTTGAAAAAACCAAATTTGCCCAAGTTTGGGTTTGGGTTTTTTTTGACCCCACTAAAACACTGACATTAAAGTACTGTCTTTTGTCCAAGCTTCCCAAAATATGAAAGTTTGGGAAAATTTGGATATGCAAAATAATCAACTCCAGTCATTATATTTGACAAACCAAAACTAAAAATCCATCCCTCAGATATCTGGCTATATTTTAGCTGTTTCACAGTTCACAAGAAGGACATATAAGAACAGTTTTACTATTCTGTCAAAATGTAATGAACATAAAGCCACCTAAAATCAGAGGCATCTCAATATAAGTTTGAAGATCAGAAAGTTGGGATGATTTTGTCCAAAATATGTATTCTATGTGGCAACAACAGGCATATTAAAGGTAAGATAAACTCCTAGAAGAGGATAAAGAGAACAGAACATGTCAATTGTCACTACTAACATAAAAACAAAGGCACTGGCATTTTTATATAGCTTATATAAACACTATAAATAAAATTAACTCTCCGAGAACTGCTGCTACTCATAATTAATAGTTTATCCTAACACTGAATATTCAGGCTGCCAGTGGGACACCAAGTTTTTCCAGTCTTTCGAGATTAACCTCTTCCTCTCTCTGCTGTAAATGTAATGAAAGATTCAGTGTGTCCAAGCAAATACCAAAATTAGTTTTTGGTAGGAAGGCTCAAACACATCAATGCTTCTCTTAGCTTAAGTCTCTAAAATTGTCTTTCTTAATTATTCATAGATATAATCATAATGGTTCTTTTTATTTCACACTATTAATTCATATATTAATGCCAGGTAGGACATGGCCATTTTTAAAAGAACCGAAGTTTTCTCCATAACAGAATTGTAGTATATAAACTGTTCTGTATTGTGCAAAGGTATCTTTCAGTTCTTTAATGCCACTTGGAAATCTGATGCAAATTCACCAATTCAGAGGATTCTGTCCATGATGCTAATTTTTCTCTGATGACTGTAGCATAACTTCTCTCTCAGCATCTCCCTCTCCACCTCGCCTGCCCTCCTGCCAGGCTGCACCTCACTTCTCTAGGAGCAAGAGTCACCAATTCCTGTCTCCCAG